GACAAATTATCTTTTTACAGATACCGACATGCATGCTCAGTGGAAGTATATTGCAATACATTATGGTCTAGACATAATCATGCCTACTTCTGGTTCTTTAATACACTTAGTCTAAACAGTGTTTATATGTTTAGCTGTGCTCTGCACGTCTGCAGTCATCCTGACTGCCAGTAACAGTGTTTGTTGAGAATATTTTGCTATCACAATGTAAAATCCAAGTAAAAGTAGCTGAATATGTTTGTACATTTAAAAAAAAATCAATAAAAAAAGCAAGTTTAAAGGACCAAAAGATTAGAGCTGAACACAGACTTTGAATACAGTAGTTCTTCGCTACTTTGCGGTTCGACTCTTGCGGCCTCGCTCCATCGCGGTTTGTGGACATACAGTACTGTACATATATTGGATTGTTTTTAATACACAGTTGTGGACTGTATAGTAATGTCACTGTACTGAACTCATGTGGACGTGAAAAAGTTAATGACAAAATAATCATTCGGATAGGCGAAGCCATTTTGTAGTTTTATTTCATTCAACCCCCAACAGTACTGCAATCATCACTCATAATGACTACATTGCCCTTAATTCAATGCTGTGGTGCCTCCGGCCGCTGTTTTCTGCCTAACAGTATTTTTGTAAAGCGGAGTCATGACTGCTGAACCGGCCTTTCAAACGCAAAATTTAATTTACGTCACACGGAAAAGATTTTTTAAAGAAAATTAAACTTTACAAACGTAAGATTCGCAAGAAAGTGTAAATCATGTGATGACATGTCTCTTTACGAAATGGAGCGTTGCACTTAGTAACCCGGGCGCTGAGTGGCTCAGTTATGTCAGCTGTTTTCCCTGCCACTGATTGGCTGTTACAGTCCGTTTACCTTCACTCTTTTTCAACTCAACTTCAAGCGTTACTACTGCGTTATGTTTTCTAAGCGTTCTATGCGTTCAAAAGTCTCTGGCGGTGAAAAGAAATGCCAGAAAGGCTTTGTAACCAAAATGCTTAATAACCTGGACGCTGATTGGCTCAGTCACCATCAGCTCTGTTTAACCCAGTCTCTGATTGGCTGCAACAGCAGAAGACGGTAGCTAACGCACTAGTGGCAGGAGGTTCGTTTACCTCCGCTCTTTTTCAACTGGACGGCTCCCAACCATTCTGTGCATTCAAAAGTATCTGGCGGTGAACCGACACGCCAGTGGAAGATACGGATGATTAAAGAGAAAGTGGAACTTAAGGACAAATTTTAAGACGGCCATACCTACGCAGATGTTGCCGGCCGCCTATGTTGTAAAGATGGAAGCTGCATTGGCCGTGTGGATTAATGATTGAAAAAAAAAACCATCACTTTGGATACCAACACCAAAGGTGAAATAACTTTACTGTATGGTCATCTTGCAGCAAGCAGCACCGAGGAACTGAGACATGGCAATGTAAATGAGAAGCGGGGGGACGAATCCGAAGCTGGACCTTTCGACCACCTGGTTCAACCACCGAACCACTGCATTTAGTTCCAGCAAGCGATGGTTCAACAAATTTCAAAAACGATTTGGATTCAAAAGTGTTTCTCTGCACTGAGAGGCTGCGTCTGCCGACAGCAGACTTGGTTGACACGACGTTCTGATCTCCAAGGGGGGGCTACAGGTCTGAACAAGTTTTTAACGTGGGCAAAACGAGCCTGTTCTAGAAAAGGATGCCATCTCACACATTTATTATGAAGGACAAAGCCAAAGCCCCTGGTTTAATCTCATCTTCATCACTTTCATAGTCATCAAAGGACAGCTGATTCTTCATCTTTTCTTCATCTTCTCTGGTGATTACCCATTTAAAATTAATATTTTTGTAAAAGGTTCAAGAGTTTAGAAAATTGTTAGGAACATTGCAAGAGTGTGGGGAAGGATTTAAAATGCCAATATACCTGTAAAATACTAAATAAACTATTACTTGCTACTATTACTACTACTACTACAACAGTAAATACTTAGGTCGTTTTCACACCTGATAGTCCGGTAGACTCGGTTCGGGACCAATATTCATGAGCTTTTGTTTACATTTGAGCGTTTGCATTCACACTGCACTGTGCAGTCGAGTCAACCTGTTGAACCAACCTATTCCCCCACTCGCCTGTGGGGGGCGCTGCACCAAGAACTACTGAAAGAAACGACACAAAAACCTCTGAAGACAGTCTTCTTCTTCTTCATTTGTAAATAAAAACAAAAACGAAGTGGCATCAAGTTTTAGCAGTTTTACGAGTTGTATTTTGTCATTTTTCAAAAATGGACTTAACATGAGCAGAAGATGAGACAGAAGACCATGGAGAATATTGTTTTTCCACACAAGGCAGCTGACGGCTCCATATGAGGTCAGAGAAATGCATGTTTGTTTACCCTGCGGAGCGGGGCTCGCTCTGTTTACATTCACACTGTACTCGAACCGCGCTGGAGTTCACTTCTACTGGACCGAGACCTAGGTTTTAGCCAGGGCCAGAGTTCGACTTTTTGTTCCGTGACAGAGTTCAATGGTGCGTTCACACCTCCCCAAACGAACCAGACTTTCTAGGAAAACAAGCTAGAGTTCGATTAAAGCGGACTAAACAGGGCGTGAATGCACCCCAAAACTACTTACTACTACCACCACTACTTGTGTACATCATTTCATTCCATCTCATGTGGTACATGAGATGGTAATGACAGTAAAGTTTACTTGAACTTCACCTACTGTATCTCTACTTTGAGGTTTTTCACATATCGCCGGGGGGGGCGGGGGGGGGGGGGGGCGGCGGCGCATGGCTCCAAAGTCCCGCAATAAATGAGGGACTACTGTACTAGAAATTTTACACATGCACATTAGTAAATGTAAAAAGGTCAATATATTAATTTCAAATCTAATGTTTCAAAACAGTGCTTAAATAAATCTGTCCTGAGGCTCATGCACAGTTAGGTGACCTGATAGGTGGTTTGGATGAATAATGCAAAGGCAAAGACACCTAGAGCAGTGTGGTCTTGATTCCAGACTTGGGGGGGGGGGGGGGGGGAAACCCTGTGTGTCCCTGTTGTTGATGAGAAACGTGAAACAGGTTGTGGCGACTGTTCAACCCCCATCCTTTTGTCCATGTGTACTTCTATCAGTGTGTATGTATTTAAAATGAATGTGTGTGACGGAGACTGGGATTCAGAGAGAGTGTGACTGTTTAATCTGCCCCTCCCGTCTCCTGTGCTCTGTATGTGTGTTTGTGTGTGCACACCCTCCCCACCCCCCACCTATCTGCATTCACTGCCAGACAGATTAAATGGTCAGAGTTGGCGATTAAAGCTCTGCTGTCCAGGCCAGTGGGTAACAGGCGAGCACACTGTGCAACTCCTTCCTTCCCTGCAGCCTGAGAGGATTAGCTGCTGCTAATGCTAAGCCAAACTGTAACCTCCAACCACCAGAGAGGAAAAGGGGGCAGGGATATTAGTCTTTTTTATGAGTCTATAGAACAGGCATTCAGGCCTGGGTGAAAAGGTGCAAGAATTGTGGGTTTTTTGTACTGTAGCCCAAGATGCATTCAATGTACACACAGTATCAGACAAGTTTTAGCAACACTGCTTGAAGACGTACCCGATTTCAACACAAAAGGCTATGACTAACAGGACCTGGTGTTTACAACATTGAAAATGTGCCCACACACTTTTACCAAGATGCTCCAAATAACTTTTGTTGTTCCACAAAGTATAATTTCCAAGTTATTACTGACATTAGGGTGTCAATGAGAAGCCCTTTTCTTCAGACAGGTTTGTTCATGCAACAACCAAAACCTATCAGCCAAAACACGGAGTAGCAAATCGTGGTCCTTATACCTTTAAAACTTCGACAAAGTCTGTTTATTTGTGACATGAGCATTGAAGATCATTCCACTAGAGACGGATTGTAAAAAATTGGGAAAAGTCAAAGTAGCAAACACAATTCATCCAACAAGATTAAGCCATTTTTTCTAAAATATGCACAGCTGACATGACTGAAATAAAGACGAGGGCAAAACAAAACTCCTTTGATATTTATTACTGCAGTAGCTCACTGCCATCACCACAGCCCCTCCAACTCCCCGTCTTTACTCATCTATTATTAAAGGCTTAAGTGAGTTGTTACATGAATGTTTGCTCCACAAGGAAACGGCAAATCTAATTTAGACTGAGTCGGGTTACTCACCACAAACAGTTTTTAACACGGCTCAGGGAATGTTACAGCCTCAGATTACGGACAGTTTTCAGAACTGTGCTTAAATTGAATAAATATGAATGAATTCACTCGACACTGCCAAAACATGACAGACATTAGTATTAAGATGTCAAGAGCATAAGAACTAGATTCAGTTTAGAATAATACACCACCTCCTTTAATGATTTATACTGTAAGAATCTCTTCCTAGAGGGCAATACGAAGAGCGTTTGACGTTCTGTCGAGTCAAAGTTTCCACCTTTGCACCTGCTGTGACTTGCAGTGTTAAGCTGGCCTGTTGACAGACTGCTCTGCTTACTAATGCGTTACAACTTCATCCACGTGTGAAGCTGACTGCACCACTGCTCTCAACCGCTGTCGTGCATTGTCAGCTGATTTGTACTCGCACAAACAAAACTGTCCATTATCGTCATCATCATCATCATTATCAGCCCTGCGCTTCAACTGTGTCAACAGATGAGCAAATCGCAAAAGGCAGCAAATATATAAGGTATCCAACACATCTTTACTGATAAAATACTCAGAGATGTTTACTTGATTAGTACCAGCAGCATCATAATCAGCACTTGCAGAAATACCCACAACATGTAGCTGCTTTAAATTTTATGACCTCTACTTAGACCAGCAGTTGCGACTCTCGAGACAAGTCGGACAATGTTCTGCTTAAAGTCGTTTGGTCCTTGATAATAATAACTAAAATAAAATGGCTTAAAAGCCACACAGGAACCAACTTTATAAATTATCTTAGGACTTCAGTAAAATTTCCCTATTTTTTTTTTTTATTCCCATACCTGGTTTCTTCTTGCAAGCATTCCTCCGTCTCTGTACCTCCTCTTCCTCATTTATGGTAAAAAGTGGTTGTAAAGTAGAACGGCCGCACGTCTTCCTCAACATCCACTTGTCTCGGGAAGGTCCACCTCCACTTCCTTCTCCTTTTTGTCCCTTCCTACCCGGCATCGCCTGCCCTGTTGCTAGCCACTGGCTAACTCACCCAACCTCTGCCCATCCCACCCAGCTGCAGAGTGGATCAAGGTAGAAGACGGTTCAGGTCGGTCCTGGGATTCTGAGTCCTGCCAGAGGATTCTGGAAGTGCAGTTCACCCATAAAAGTTGTGCTTTCTGATAAAGTAGCTAAAAGCTAGATGCTAACAGCTACTTTGATCTGGCTACAAAAAAAAAAAAAAGTATCCTTGTGGAAAATGTAGAAAAAGCTGAGAGATAAAAACGAGTGAATAAAAAAAGCACAATGCAGAGCTGAGGAAGAGTGTGAAAGAGACAGAGCAGCTCACTGTGCCCTGTCCGTCCTGCCCGGGATGGCAGCGCCTGGCAAGGAGACGGAGGATGCGGATGAGCTCTTGGAGTGTGGCTTAGAAAAGAAGACTTAATCCATACGAGTGGCTCGGTCAAGGTCTAAGTGTTGCGCTCCTTTTGACTTGGGCACTCTCAAAAAGATGCTGCGTCTGCTGTTTGCACTGTTACTGCAATCTCTCCTACCCCTCCTCCATTCTCCCCATCCAACATCTATTCTGTCAATTTCAACTTGTCAGGAGAACCACATCGCACAGACAGCCTCTGTACAAAAAAACATAGGAAAAAGAGGGCAGCAGAGCTGATGAAATATTCAGCGAGACTTCAGTAGTGGAAGGTGAGCCGGTACAAAGTAATGGGTTTCACCGACCACAGCAGTGCTGTGGAGGTGTGAGAGCAGAGGACAGGCAGCCTTTAATGAAACGGACACGAACACTAACACAGCCAGAAATTCACTTCTATGAACCCTACGGTAACCAAATGATGCAGTATGATGCTGTCCTGATGGTAGAAGTGTGTCAGGACTGCACGTCGTTTATGGCTCCACCCATAACTGCAACTTAAAGAGATACTTCAGAGCTTTTGAAGTGGGGTTAGTGGAAAAATTATCAACAATTATCTGATGCAGATAACTCTTGGAGTCATCAGTTTGGATAAATAAGAGTTCATTTCTGATTGGACGGACCAAATTCAACTGATGCTGCCTTTCAAAAATAAATAACTGAATAAATAAAAATAACAACGAAAAAGCTACTTTACGACTTGTTGTTAATTTCATACAATATTGTTGGTTAAATTTTTATTCTGCAAGTGCAAATAGCAGCATCTAGCTCCAGGTGTGCATCCAGCAGTAATTTAACTCAATATTTATGCTTTATATATATATATATATATATATACACACACACACACACACACACACACACACACACACACACACA